CTATTTTCTTCTACTACAAAAACTTGTTCTGCACAACGTTGGAGCGTGAACTAGGTTTAGTTCTAATCTAAAAAATGGACACAAGCGTTAATTACACATGGGATGTAGCGAATGGATATGTGATCATAAACTTTGCACATAGACAGTTAGGTGCTCTCACTCCTGAGCTCTTTCTAAGGTTGTACAAAATATACGTCAAACTACACCCTGAAGTCTACATTATCACTGCACCTTCACTGTTTAGGGTAGACGCAAACCTTTCGGAAAGAGTCCCAAAGCCGGCAACAAAAGGAGTGGTGGGTCTCCGAAATAAACAGTATGATGAAAGGCTAAAGATATCAGACCTGTTCACATTCAGCTACCATCGGCTTAGGGGGGACGTAATTACTGACTTCGAGACTACCAATGACCAGAGTCACCCAACACAAAGGTGTTCTGCCATTGAGTAGGTGTGGGCTTCCTCGTGGAAATCTCAGAAGGATAGCCCACCAGAGGGCAAAGACCCGAGTGTGCGCCCACTTCTTCACACTGTGTTTGCCATCCCTGCAACTCCCTACCGACAGATGTAGCTACGATACCGTCTACTGGCATCTCTAAGCGAGGGTGGTCAATCATGCACAGACACAAGGACTGCGCCCAAATGGCCTATCCCCCTAAAATCGCATACACCATCAATGGTTAGACATCTAAACTCACCATTTTAATTCTTTACATTCTCTCTTGTCTTATTTATCTGACTACTCCGACCACTACACTTACACTCATTATGATTTTAATAATTATTATTATTGATATCATACGCACATTTACCTATATATGAAGATGCATATATGTCGACATCAAATTTAACTGTCTGCTTTCACGTTTTCTTTATTTCTTTTTCTGCCTTTCAGTCTAAATAACCCACAATAATTATATCTGTCATTATTGTCTTTTTTCCTTTTTCTACGACAGTGGAGGACTAACTGATGTGAGAATCAGTTCCATTCTGAATAGTGAGACGGTCTCAACACAGTGGTTAGGACTCTCGCCGACCATGCACATGGTCCGAGGTTCGATCTCCTGCCGACGCACACCCGATATCTATGGTCAGCCTGCAAAATTTAGGCTACCGATATCCATGCTAAAAATTCCATACTTGTACCAAAAATACGGTTTGGAATCAAGCTGTAATCAAAAAAATAAAAACAACACACTGCATACTGCAAACAATAGATAATTAATCCCAGCACCACTCCTTTTGGAGTCAACCAAAGGTACAATAGTCGAATGGCCCAATGAATTACACAGAAGTTTACCGAAGACCAGGAGCCTGTATCTGTCTACCAAGAGGTGACTATAAAGATATCTAACCGTTTTACAATAGCTCGTAAGAAGATATTGGATATTAAACAATCCCTCCAAATATTTGAAATAGTCGAAATTAGGCTTCTAGGTAATTTTAAGATACATTCATTTGCTTTATGAACCGCTACTTACTAGTTTTGACAAAACACAAAGAAATCAGTTTCTTTTCAATAAAGTCCTGAAATAGACATTACAAATTGAAACGTTTGTTTGTTCACTTAATTAAACTGAACTTCATTCGACCGTGTTTTCATAATACTGACTTGCCTTGAAGGTCGTTTGTGTTGTCACAACTGTGAAGGTATGTAGTTTGTATTTAAATTTAGAATTCATATGAGTGGAATTACAAATTCTGAATGTGAATGAGAAATGACTAAGCAATTAACAAAATGACAGGATAATAACCGTAGTGTCAAGTTTAAGTTAACAAGGTTTGAAGCATTGAAAAAACTATCAGTTCTGTAATTGACGAATATTGACAGCCATTAACCACATAATTTTATTAAACTCTATGTTAATTTTTGATTCTAGATTAAATTTACACATCTGTTGTGTTTTTGGTACAGTTCGACTAATTATTTTGATGGAAACACTGTATTCCCAAGAACACGTTCACAGTATTGAAGTACAATCCTACCCCACTATTCTATGTTTTAGTGAGGCTCTTAGTGTTGTTTAGAGCATGCATTATTATTGAAGTATTTTTTTCGGTGATGCATTAGGCATTTATGTTATTTTAAAGGACAATTTTATATAGGTCTTCATTTGAGATCCTGAAGTTCTGCTTTGCAATTCAAGTTTTTTTGTACTGTAGAAATGAGCTGGAGATGATCATATGCCATGAAACACTCCTAATATTAATCATAATTTGTATTTCTACGTATGCGTGTATCTTTCTAGACGCATAACTTTATTTCGGTATCAAAGAGATTATTGGGCTCTCCCTATATATATATATATATATATATATATATATAGTTTATTGACAGATATACACTCATGAGATTGCTTTACTATCACTGATTGTTCCTGGTACTTCATGATGACTGCTATACTTTTACTTCGCCTAGGTTTTTGTTCGTGGGCCATGATAAACTTTGACGAATGTTTAAAGTACAGTAAACACTCCAGCCAGTTATGAGAACCTGCTTTCATTATATTAATTGTGCAAATAAAAAATGTCCCATTTAGGCAAGAAAGCAGTCGAATGCACAAATAAGACTTCTGATAGTGTCCAGAGATCTTTCACATGCATGTTGTGTAGGTAACAATAGAACACTTCCTAGTTATACAAAATAATTGTTGCCCCTTTATTTCGATAATATCTCGGAGCGAAGCTTTATTCAAGCGGAAAAAGCATCAGGAAACCTTAAAATTCAATTTAAGATTTTTGGTTGAGAACAGAAGGCTTCAACCCTATGTAGATCTTCCTCTTGCAAGTAAATGTGCTTGTATAATTCTTTCCTGAATGAGTCGATTAAGGACTATGGTGAACAGATTTCCAGCCCCTGAATTATCAAGTGTGATAAACATTTCTTAAAGCTCGTGTTTATGCCAGAGTAGACCCCTAATCTCGGGCTTCATTCTTGAAGAAAGGCAGTGTTTTCTACCATTCAGAACAATTCGTGCGGTGTAAAGTGGGCCTGTCCCGGGTTCACTGTTGCTCGAATTGACTCCATACAGCCTCAGTATATGCTTCCTGGTATATAATCCAGTCCTGTCACATGGCTGTAGAAATGACGGCTCGTATATTAGCTCTCCACATGCTTAGTCAAGCAGGGGTTTTAACCCAGGATACCTCATTAGTTGTGAATGTGAAGTTAAGGACAGTGTGGCTCTCTCTTCCTTATGGTTAACTCGATCTATCCTATGGTCCTTGGGTTTTTGAAGGTTAACTGGTTTGGAACAATGGTGCCTTCTCGTCTTTCGTGGATGATACGACTTGTGTAGTGGTTTTGTCTCGTGCCTTGAGAGGCTACATCCTACCATTCATTGGTGGTCTGCTTCAGGTGAGTTTGATGGCAATTGCTAACTATCCACTTGTTCCATAGGAGTTACTGAGACTGCAGTGTTGGCCGCTTGCACGGCGACTTTTGCTGTAGGTCGACGACCTTTGCTCCACCTTTTCCTTCCGAAAGTACCAGCATTTTGCAGACTAGGTCTTCCAAAAATGTCGCATCAAGACCAATTTTGGATTTGTTAATAGCACCAATAGCATTGTTACCTTCCGAGTACTGGTTATTTTCAAACTATGTTAAGGTACCTATGTAATCAAGAAGCTTTATTGTTGTGTTACTGCAGTACGAAACTCTCTTATATAACGTGTTCTTTATAGTCATAATTGGTCCTTGTACTGTAACTATGAGAGGTTAACATCAAAGTTTGTAAACCGCAGGGGTCAGGTCTTTTGTAACCACGGATTACAGTTATCATATTGCACATTCTTCTCTATTGGGAAGTGGCACGTTAACCTCACACAACGGCCCTTTATGGTGGTGGTCACTAATTTGAGAGGAAGGCGATCAGTTTCTATAGGAGACGATGACAGCTATTATCTAAAACAAAGTCCATTTGCCTCAATTCGAAAAGAGTTCTGTTACGAAAAGTAACAAAACTTGGAGCCCATATTAAAAACAGTACGTTTATTTAATCAAAAAACAAAAAAAATTCTAAAAAGAATAACCCAAATTAAAGTTTGCCTATAAGCTCTTGTGGTGTATAACACAACAAAAGGTGAATTTAAAAGTGAGAAAAAGGTCACTCTTTTTTCCAAAGTCTGCATAAAAGGTGTATAATCCAGAAGCTACTTGACTATAATAAGCACTACCTACTCGGCGCACTATTGTGATTTAGACAGTAGTTTTCAGTATTCATCATTAAACATATTCGTTCAAAGCTTTCGTGCTAACACTAGCAGTAAACAGTTTTGTGAAGATCATATCTCATCTTCATACGTTGACTGAGGGGTGGGGGAGAGATAGTAGGGGTAGCCAATATGAGTCGCGGTAACATATTTTAATCGCTCAAAATTCGAAAGGAGTATATGAGTTCTGGTTCTCATATTTACAACAACAGCTTTTGGCGCCGATCCTTCGATGACTTCGCATATAATCTACGCTGGAAGTAAATTTTTTTTTTGATTACAGCTTGACCCCCGTACTTTTGGTAGAAGTATGGAGTTTTCAGCGTGGATATCGGTAGCCCAAATTTCGCAGGCCGACCATAGATATCAAGTGTGCGTCGGCGAGGGCTCGAACCCCGGACTATGTGCATGGTTAGCGAGAGTCCTAACCACTGTGCCACCGACGCACATTAAATCAGATAAGCTCATAGTTAACTATTCAGTTTGCAGTACACCAAAATAAGACCACTCATAGTGCTGAAGATTTGCACCTTAGGTTCAGAGTGTAGTTTGTCTGATATTCTTCATGCTTTTATACTTAATAGTTGATGTTTTATCGCCAGAATTGGCGGCAAGTTTTAGCTATAATATCACTCATCTGGTGACTGGAAATCAAGTGTTTATGCAACTCTGTATGAAGGTCTTGATTTGAATATTTCAGAGATAGCATTTTATCGAGCTCGTAGAAGAGAAACAAGCCATATCCTTTTTTTCTCGTATTTTAGTTCATCATTTTCTGATTGTTTTCAGCATGGTGAATGACAGTCAAGGCTCAACAAGATCAACTCTCATTGAACAGACAATCAAAGGAGCTATTGCAGGTTAGCTTTATCTCTGTAATACGCTTTACAAAAAAAATTTTAGGCGGAATTACTGGTGCAGTAGAGATATGTATCACATACCCGACCGAATATGTCAAAACACAACTGCAGCTCGATGAACGTATGGGCAGTGCTAGACAGTATTCAGGCCCCATCGATTGTGTAAAGAAAACAGTAAAGTCTTATGGTGTACGGGGTCTCTATCGGGGTTTACCTGTACTTCTTTATGGTTCCGTCCCTAAATCAGCTGTCAGGTAAGTTTCGTTGTGAAAATTTCCTGTGAAATCGGTAATATAAATTAACTAACAACTAGTAATGTGATAAGGTGAGCGAGTAGGACAAAATTTCTTTTCAGAGTTCACCGTTAGACTGACTTCCAAAGGTCTAATAACTCGATAAGAACAAACCTGTTTACGTATTTGACTGTTTGAGAAAGGTTAGAACCCAAGAAAAATGATAAACTGGAAGATTTGAATAACTTTTTAGATGTTTACAAAAAGAACAAAATTGTCATACATCCAGTCCTTGGTTCTCTGCAATCTGAATTCCATCATTGAAGCTTGTAATGTGTTCACGATGCTAAGTGGCTCACCAACGCGTGCACTCCGAAGTGATGTTAGATGGTTTGAAACAGTTTGTAAGAAGTCCTGGACCTAGATTCCGTGCTTGCTGGCATTCGTCAGCAAGACATGTCCGCGACCTTGATGGAACCCATATCTCCATCCAGGTTCGAACTCGCATCACTCGGTTCTGTGGTCACAGAGGTTACCACTGAGTTACTCGCAGATGCGTCTTGCTGACGAGTGCTAGAAAGCACGAAACCTAAGTCCAAGTTTTCCCACAGATTGCCCTCAACCACCTAACATCAATGTCTAATTGGTTCGTTATATACTTAATGCAACTAAACTTTGTCCTTTTTTAAGAATATTCCCCAGGGTAAACCTTCAATCCTAAAATGGGTAAAGCTGCAAGCCATCAGGTTGTAACCGTCTGATCGGCGTCCAACAACTAATGATTTGCAACTTTTAGTACTGTGAGGTGTAGCGTAGTTTCCGTTTCGTATCACTGATGAATAACTTTCTTCACATCCTATGCGGTTTGCGTCACCAGTCATAACATCTCGTCAGAGAAATTTCATTTCGAAACTGATTTGTCAATGGGCGTTAGATGTGTATTCAGCTGCAGTGTTTATGGGAGGCTAGTCAATTTAACAGTAGTTCTCATCCATTTCTCGATGGTTGTGTAGCTCATGTGAATTTGTGACGAAATGTACCGAGAAAGTGTAAAGTAATAAGCTGGTTAGAAGTGAAATGTAGTAAAAGAAGTAAAATCTACCCACCATTTATGTGGACGTTCGTGCACTAAAAACTAAGTCAGACAAATGAAGTGAAGGCTAGTATCACTGTCTACATTTGAGATTTCAGTTAGTGAAGCAAACTTAGAACAAAGTGGGTCTTTGACTGAAATTTTTCTATCGAAGATCTTAAGTTACTGCGTGATTTCCAAGCTTAATTTGTCATTTGTAAATGTGCAGACCATCAATGTTACAGGAAACTCACAGAGAATTAAGATTAGCTCATTCTACTCTCGGAACAAATAGTTACTCGTAAACCTGTATGAGAAGATATCTAAGTAGAGAAGATAAAGATGTATCGAAACCTCCTCCTGAGAATCGGATTAGTACTGTGACAATTCCTTATCTCAAGGAAACGGCAGATGGAATAAGACAAGTCCCCAACAATTATGACACTAGACTTTATTTTCGCGCAAACACTACCTTGTGCTGGTCACTGGCAAAGATTAGAAGAAGACAACCAACAGAATTGCGTATACGAAATAAAATATAGGGGTTGTGATGAAGTATGTGCAGGAAAGACTTCCAGGTAAGTGAATTTCAGAGTAAAAGGATATAAAATTGCATAAAGGCGGTTCCAAATACCTCAATGGATTTGAAGGGTCTAAAAAACAAACCAGAGATTTTACTACGTTCGATAGAAACGTGGGGCATAAATTAAACACGATACATTAGATACAGTATGTAGATGAAGAATCTAGTGCGTCGGTGGCACAGTGGTAGAATGCTTGCCAACCACACAGGTTGTCCGGAGTTCGATCCCCGGCCGACGCACTCCGTTACCTCGCTAAGCCAGTGATAAGACTGGTAAAGAGGGAAGGCTGGGCACGAGGTTAACAACCTCATCCGGTAAAATTGAACACTGCTACAGAAACTTCAAGCCACTAGCTTGAAGCTAGCATGAATAAAAAAGGATCTACAGAAAGGTGTTGTTTCATACAAAAAAAAGACAGACTGCAGAAGGCCTGTATATAAGAGTGAATCCCATAAGTATAAATAGACTTGACGGTGTAATGTTAGAGATGATGCATGTCTAAGGTAAAAATGTGCTGCCGATTTCCATGTCTAATTTATTATCCCGATTATCTGTATCTTCCAAAGCAATATATACTTATACCTACTATGGATTTATGTAACTGAAAATTCAAATTGATACACTAATGACTTACAATTGCAACCACAATTAATCGTTGTTTTATTTCAGTTTTATTCTGAATATGCTGACAATTGATGTGAAACTGTCCACCCATTCACATTATTTGTAGATCAGACAGACATTTTCTAATTCAGATTTCCTTACCATGTGTACTAAGTTACCATGACCTATGTTAGAATATTTTCATTGAAGATGGACATAAAAGTACAAACACAGTGTTCACAGTGTAGACTACTAATAACGAGTAGGTGGAACTATCCGGTCAAATCTTGACCACAGTTCACTCAGTTTTGTTTATTATGTTGTTTTTCATGACTATTCATGACTCAGACATGATTAAATGAGAATGTTTAAGACAAGATTTGTCTTTTTAACTTTTGTGTGTTTGTGTGTGTACATGAGGTTTGTCAAGTTTACATAATTGATCAGGTAACACAAGAATGATCTAATATAGAAACGAGGTTAATTAGACAACAACTAAAGTAAGATTAAGTTAGTAAGTTAGATGACGTAATATAATTGAATAAAATGTTTCAACTTAGGTCAGGGCAGCAACAGAGGTGATTACAGGTCGACACTAACTACAGGTGGCCTAGAGAATAATGCCATTTAAATTAGAACTGAAATTGAGCAAATAATATGGATGGAGTGACATAAATGACTAGAAATTGAGCGTTGGTCAAGTCAGTAACAGTGGTAGTGAAGTGTGAGAATTAAATCGGGTGGGGGGGTAGAGAACAAGAAGGTTGAAAATGTAAAATATTACAATTGAGAAGACAAAATAAAACTAATGAAGAGACAGAAAAAAAGAGATTAGGTAGAATTTACTTTTCAGGTAATAAGATAGATTACGTCCATTGAAAGTGTAGTGATTGAACGAACTTCTTGTGTATGCAGAGTTCAGGGCTTAGCAAATGAATCGCCACTGCTTCTGCAGTTTGACGAAGTCTGATTCGTACACCTTTAGGAAGACTACTTCTCACTCTGTAGACGACTTTGAAGTTTGTTTGAGGTGTAGCTCGGTGTCCGGATTCTATCAGATGTTCTAAGATGGAGCTGCGGGGGGGGGTATCGTTTTTCTCCTTTGTGAAACCATATTGGTGAGTGTTCGGTGATACGTTTGGAAAGCGAATGCTGGGTGCGGCCGACATACCTGACTCCACACGAGCAGGTGAATTGATACGTCATTTAACTTTCTAACTCAATCTTACTTTAGTTGTTGTGGAATTAACCTCGTTTCTATATTAGATCATTCTTGTATTACCTGATCAATTACTAGAACTTGACAAACCTCATGTACGCACACAAACACACAAAAGTTAAAAAGACAAATCTTGTCTGAAACATTCTCATTTAATCATGTCTGAGTCATGAATAGTCATGAGAAACAACGTAATAAACAAAGCTGAGTGAAGTTTGATCAAGATTTGACCGAACAGTTCCACTTACTGGATAGAAATCCAGTTACATCCAATGAAGAGCATTTATTAATGTCTGACCACAAAATCAATATAAATTACTATTTCTGATTTATTTCACATGACCTTAATTCAATGTTATTGAAAGTGATAGAAGCACTTTAGATTAATCACATGTATCCCAAACAATGTGTTTGAGAAACAACAGAGTTCAACCTTCACCCCCACCATAGACAGCTTGACCTACTAAAATATGATTAGTTATTAGTATGTACTTTTATTTTATATAACTGAGTAATTGTCAAACATTTTTAATTTGATTCATATGAACCATCTTAGTTGCAAAGCGTTCGTAAGGAAACCACAAAATGGCATCATCTCGTAATATTTGTCTCATTTCAACTTATCATAAGAACCTACTGTTTCAGTTAATTTTATCATTTGTTAGTACTTCAAACTGTGTAAATTAATACAGTCTATTATTTAATTGAATTTGGATTTTCCCATTGATTGGTTGGACCCAGTTGTTCGACCTCTATTGTGCTGATGCTTCGACGATGTATGAATATTTAATACGAAGTAATTTGGTGGATGGTGACTAAAAGTGGGATCCAGATGCATATTTCATCCCATTTAGGACTCGTTAGATGGATGCGTCTGTGTCCCTCAGTGACTGATGATGTTTTCACTGAGGCTCGAAACGAGTACCCTTCGTTTTAAACACCACAGCGTTATCTATTAGACCATGAGAGTAATCTTATATAGGCAACTGATACTATTAAGTTTGTTATGGAATTTAGAGATTGAAATGCCTCAAAAAGCTTTTGCAAAATTGTAAATATTATTTATAATTAGTCATTCGGTCACTCAATCAAGCTAACCATTTTTCTTGTTTCTCTGTCATTAACAGAACAATTCAATGCGTAATTGTTAACTTCCGTAGTGTGATGTTATATAGCTGAAGTTAATTTTATATTTTCAATGTGACATTTCATAAAACAATTAGATATCGTTATGAACCAACGTCTCATAGACCGATCATTGAAAACTAAGGAGCACTGAACAGCTGTTTCGTTCTAGTTTGGGACTTTTTAGCAGTGAACACTGACGACCCCACCAAGGATAGAGTTCGGGACTTTCTAGCTGCAAGTCCTAGTTCATTGATCATTCATCTGCTTGGGCTAGTGAAGCGGCTGCTCATCGAAGGCATTGGTTGGGGGCGGGGTGGGTAGGAAACAATGTTAGGTACAAGGTGTATGACTGATAACACTTCATGTTTTGACTTCTGTGTTTAGTTAAGTATAGAAAGTCCTACTATTGGTTGTTGTACATGTGAGAATTTAAAAATATTCTCTTGCGTTCGGAGTGGATCCGGATTTTCAACTCCGATGTGAAGTCAGTGCTAGTATACGGATCAGAGAATAGGCGCCGCGTCATGAAGGGCACTTCGAACAAACTGCAGACTTTCACCTTCGCTAAATACTACTGAAGGCCAGAGGGCTGGTCAGAGGAGATCAGGAACAGGGAGGGATCTCTGGCAATAAGTGAATCAACCCATCAGGAACTGATTGTGCAACAAATATGTAGGAAGAAATGGAGGTAGGTGGATTGGCCATATTCTGAGAAAACGAACCATCAAGTGAGTGACTTCAGACGCCAAGCCATCGTTCGATTGGGACTGGAATGGGAATTGGCGAGTTGGTTGTCAGTGGGAGGGTGACGTTGAGTGGAGGAGGTGATGTGAAGAGGAGATGAAAGCATGTGGGGATACTTGGATCCAAGTGAAAACGTTAGAGAAAAACACGTGGAGAACCCAAAGCATCTCTCCACTGAATCATTTATTTTAATTATCACGCATAAACTAAAATTTTGTAAATTCTACTTCGATATAGCTGTTGGCATTAAACAGACAAACGCCAGTAAAATGGTCTTTTTTAGCGGGATATACGAGATTTTTATAGTATAGCTTATGGTAATCAGCGTGGGAATGTAAAGATTCACTGTCTCTACACAAGAGGATGTGATGAAAGCCTAAGGCTAAAAGCTGAAATTGATAGAGATGAAACTGTTGAGAGACTAGAGCAGTTATTTTTAGAGTCTATGTTATGCTAAGTTGTTTAGTGTAGTTGTAGATATCTTCATTCAAGTATTCCCATTATAATAATTCGACAATGCAGTTTAAGCAAATAAGTAATTTCTGATCAGACTTCACAGTTATATCAGGAAATTATTCAGCATAGACTTACGATGTCACTGTGGTTAGTAGATTTAATGCATATGAATTGGTGGTTCATATTCCAAGGCGTCATAATAATAATTATAGAAATAAATTCACAAAAGTGTTTATGTAATCTGGGTAGTTAATTTTTATGAGCCTGTACCTAGAAGATGTAATTCGAAATTGATTGCGACCTGACTCAACTTAGAGGACCATCGTGAACTACCACGGAGTACTGAAAAACTGTACTGCTTTTGTTCAGAACTGTTCAGCAGTATGCACACATGACCCCACCATGGGTCAAACCCATGACCTTCAGTTTACATGCCGGAGTCACATACCATTGAGTCTCTGGGACGGAATCTAGTGGCCCATTAATTCTAACTTCTGCCATTTCGTTATATATAAAATGAAAAAATTAGTTATTCATTAATAAAATTATTATATATATATATATATATATAAGTTAGAAAACAACCTGGTTGACCACATAGCCACTAAGATATAATGTGTATATTTGCAAATATATAGAAGAGAAATATCTATTATCTCCTGTTTGACTGTGTTAGACGTAAATACTCGATGTCTGTTCATTTTTTGGCTTCTAATATGGATGCTTCGACGACTTCTACAGATTCGCGTGGAGTTATTTTTAACTGATAGTGACTAGCAGTAGAATCTAGACTATGTACTTCATCCTATTCGGTATTCATTAGCTGGATGTGCCTGCATTCCCCAGTGAGTAATGATGTTTCCAGGGTTCGAGTCTCAGCTGGAATACCACTTACTGGAGATGCGAGTACATCCAGTTAAAAAAATCCCAAGTACGATAAAATACGCATCTTGGATTCTACTGCTAGTCACCAACAACTAAATATCACTTATAAAAATTTATGAAGATTTGAATAAATTTCAGTTGTTAGATTATATCGCGAAACAACACCAGTTAGAAATGATTAAAAACTAAGGGGTACTGGACAGCTGTTTCATCCTAGGTTGGTGCTCCCCTAGTTTTCTAGAATCTCTGACTGATTTTGGCTTGTAACCAAATTTGCGTCGTAACTGATCTAAAACCCCCAAAAATCTTCTATTCTGAATATCAATCTCCAGCTTATGTATTTCTATTGGATGGATGTCTTGAGGTTGTAGTGAGAAATCGTGACCAGTCAGGTCCACATTGTCAAGGCTAAGTTGGCACCGTACCATGAATTAGCAAAACCAGAATTCCTACCCAAGTGGCTGAATAGTCAACCAGCTTAGTCTCGTATATCGGAGGTCATTGGTTCAGTTATTGGCGAGTTCATATGTGCGCACCGATGAATAGTCTCGAACCAGAACCTAACAGCTGTCCAGTGCCTTCGCGTTTTTAATAATCTCACTAACCGATGTTGGTTCATGACGGGATCTAACAATGAAATGTCATTTAGTTTGATAAATGTTTTTATATTATTGTATAATCAGATATGAAGAATATTACTGAGATGGTACTATCGGAGTAAAAATGTTCATTCTTTTTATAAGAAAAAGTCAAGTTTTCACTTAATTATTAAATGCACACATAACTAGGACTTGCAGATATACATTTTAAGGGTTCAAGACTCAGCCAACTGAATCATCCAAAATGTTTGATTATCTGAATTTGTTTTTATGTTTCTTGAACTTAAATGAAATAATATTCACTTATCTAGGGAGCATTGTCTCAACCAACTACAGGGGAACGGACGAGGATGTCAAATCGAGAATCGGGAAGGCGAACAATACATTCATTCATCAGCCTGAAACCAATCTGGAAATCTTCGTCACTCAGCATCAACAATAAAATTCCGTCGGATTTTCAATACAAAAGTCAAGTCAATCAGTTCTTCAATACGGATCAGAAGCTTGGCGGACGGGTCACAAAGAATATTTCCAACAGCCTGCTGCAGACCTTTATCAAAAACTGTCTTCTCTGGCTCGATACTGAAGATCAGATGGCTGGACCGGAAAGAATCACCAACAAGAAAATATGGGAACAAACAAACAAAACGAGAACCAATCGCCAACCAACAAATATACAGAAGAAGGTGGAGATGGATTGGACACTCGCGGCTGAGGAGGCCGCCGCTGGGTGACATCGCGTGCGCATAAGGCCATTTTTCGAGTGGAACCAGGCCGAAAGGGAAGCGGTGAGTGGGATGTCAGTGCAAGGGTGACATAGAGGAGATCGTGTGAAGAGGAGTTGAAACAGTATAGACTAAGATGGATGCAGGTGGAAAGTACATCAGAAGGAAGACAGAAGCAAGTGGAGACGTGCAGCTGAAGCCCTATGTTCCACTAGGAACCCAAGGGAACAATAATAATAATAACACCTTTATTTGATTGCAACTTTTAAGTAGCTGAAGAATATTTAATAATATCTGAGTGCTTATTAGACTTTCTTGTTAAAAAAAACAATTTGTCCTTATAGATTTGGAGCATTCGAGGAATTCAAACGTCATAATGTATCACCTGATGGAACGCTTACAGCTGGAAGAAAACTTCTGTGTGGTTTAGGTGAGTTGAATATATATATATATATATATATCCTGTATTACGTGGCAGTGATTGTAGAGAGTGCAGGGTAACTGCACTGCATTTTGGCTTATAATTATTTCATACTTGACAGATAAATTATACAAGTCATCAACATAAAGTTTTGAACGAAGAGAGAACAGTGATTAGTTGTTACTGAAGTTATGATGTTTCATAAAATGTCTCAATTTTCATCTTTCTCACCGACTACTTGAGTTTTTTTGTTCATTCTTTCGTTTTCATCTTTTTAAATGTGTGGAATTCTTCACTTCAGCTTCTGTTTGTCTGTTAAATGATTTCCCTGCCTGCTATAGTGTTAAAAAATAACGTTATCAGATGCTCAAATCTTATCCCACAAGAAAAAAGCCGGATTTCGTCAATAAATTCAGTATTGTGTCAAAAACACCTGACTGAATATCCCGTTAGTAGAGAAACCTTTTAAAAGGTTCTGATGTATAGCTTACGGTTCTGTTCCCTTTTCGGAAGTACATTTTACTTTGGGTTTATTTTACAAAGTTACCTTTTATTATGGGCCATTGGACCGGGTGCCAGTGGCTTAATGGTATACGACCTCGCCTTGTAACCAGAAGGTCCTGGGCTCGAACCCCAGTGGATGCCTACTGCTGAAGAGTGGCAAACTAGTCTGACAAAACAGATGTCCAGTACTCCCAGGTTTTCCAATGGTTCTCTAACTAATATCAGCTCATGATGAAATCCTGTTACCAATCAATCGAATCCCTACAAACCAATACTTGAATTACCTCTAATCAAACTACCAGTGAGTAGTCAAGTTGTTTCGCTCATATGGCGTTGCATAGCGGAAATACTGCTAATCTCTTCTGGCAGGCTCATTTTCAATAACCAGGTGTGTATTAGCCTAGTGGAAATGCTTTTGCTAACATGACAAGTTTCTGAACCATATGAGAGAACTGACATGTCACTAATTTGTCTTTGAAATCCGAATGATGTTACTTCTGCTGAATGCAAGTAGTTTCCAAACTAACTCCAGAGCAGTGAAGGTGTCTGTTTTGCCTTTCCCATCCTGACTGCCTTTGATATACTCATTCGTACAGCCTGTAGTTGAAACAGTGATGCCTAGATAAGTGGAGGTGGTAACCTTCTTCAAATTCCTTCTGTTGGTAGTGGATCGCGGTTACCTTTACTCAAGTGTCTTCATCACCTCTGTCTTCTCTATGTTAACTTGAAGTCTGCCAGCCTCTCTTCTGACAGCTTGTCAGTTTTAGCCTGTAGATCTCGGGTTTGTATGGCATTAGACAAAAATTGTCCGTAAAGTCTAAATCTGCTAGATTCTTTTTCTTAGTCCGATGTGTGTCTGCCTTCTCTCACCCCAAGACCTGGAGAAATATCTAGCTCAACATAATCAGTAATATTATTGGTAATAGTATATTGACAGCTTTGTTTTACTCCTGTCTTCACTTCAAAGACTTCGCTGAGTTTCCTGTTGTAAATCACTTGAAATGTGATATCGTCCTAAAGCTGTTGAATACGGCTGATAAAAGTTTGGGGCACTCTGTACTGTTTTTAGTCCAGCTACAGTGTATTTCTACACATGACACGATAACACTGAAGTTTTAAAACAGCTGCGGTTTTTTTCAAAATTGTAGACATTTCTTTTTCATTTGACTTCAAGGCATTCTTCAAAGTACACCAATATAGTCCAACAGTGCTGTTCAAACAGAATGACTTTAGCTTACTGGACCAGTGGTAATCTGCTGCTGGGAGTTAAGAATGTGTATTGGTGTGTGTTGGTGGTCGTGCTAAAATCACGAATTGGTAGAAGTCAGAATTTATGGGCTGGTGATTGAACTGGGCCTCAGTGTCTGAATGGTATACGAGCTTGCCTTGTAAGCGGAAGCTCCTGGGTACCAACCCTGGTGGTGGGCGCGTACTTCCGATGATCCCCAAACTAGGATGATGAAACAGCTGGCTGTTCAGTACTCCCTGTTTGTTTCATCATAGATGTACTGATGGACTTAACCCTAACTCACTTCAGAGACACAAGGATTAACTTGCTACCAGGGAATAATCTCGTTGACTTAGAATATGTAGACGATATAGTCCTTCTAGGCGAGGACGCTGACAAAATGCAGAGTCTTTTGAACACCTTGGGCTGCAATCTATGAATGTTTGGCATGCGATTCGCTCCAGCCAAATGCAAGATGATGTTACAGGACTGGACCACATTGACTCTTAGTTTAGAAATAGGGAGTGAAGTGGTAGAGCACGTTGACCACTCCATTTATTTGGGAAGTACCATCAGCCAATGCCAACGGGTTGATCTCTGACGAAGTCTCAGCACGGATGCAGAGTGCTAGTTTCGCATATGCCAGTTTACGCCGTCTCTGGCGTAGACGTGATATCCGGCTGGCTATCGACCAAAGGGCGTGTGTACAACTCGTCAGTCCTCTCCGTCCTCCTTTATGGCTGCGAGACGTAGCCATTGAGAGTGAAAGACATGAAAAGATTAGCTGTCTTTGATCATAGGTGCCTGCGCTCTCTTTTCTGTGTGAAGTGGTATAATAAGGTGAGCAATATTGAGGTCGAGTGCTAGGTAGGTGGGAGGGGAAATCAGTCGACGAGGCTGTGAAATTACATAGACTGAGATGGTTAGGACATGTGTTACGTATGCTTAGTCATCGCCTTCCTCGACAATGGGCAATGTTAGCTGATATAGGGTCAGGCTGGAAAAGAGCTAACCAGCGGCGGTCAAACCAAAACATGGCACCAGTCAATGAAATCTACAACGGTTAGTTTAAGCTAGCCATGTAGGAAGGTGCAGACTTCCTGGTTGGGTCCTCGGGACGGTAAAAACGAATGGCTAGAAACAATTGGTGATATGGCTCAAAATCGTTATCAATGGCTGGCGCAGATGCATCCACTCCTTGTGACTTATGATTTTCAATGAAACTATATTGTTCTTCGTTATTACTATTCCTTTGTCTCACACCTCTGTTTACTGTCTCTATTATGCATTTCTTCTACTTTCTTCGCTTGCTTTGTGTGCTACAAGGTGGGAGTGTGGCGACTTGAACTACCGCACATTGGTGCAAAGTTCTATGTCGAAAACAGACAGACAGACCCTGTTTGTGTCCAATAGTTCTCTTACTCATATCAATCCGTGGTCTAACCTGAAACACAAGAGAATCCCTACAAACTACTAATTCTTGAATATTAAAAAGTCATCAATGTAGCATTTTATTATTCATTGGTCTCAATAAGTAATTTTACTTCTCTATTGGACTAGATATACACCTTCCTTGGTATTATTCTTCTTCTCTTAAATATCACCTTTTCTAGGTAACCATTTGTATCGTATCTTGAAAGTATGTTTGAACAGTAGGCTATACCTTATGACTGCTAGCTGAGAATCCATCCGTCCTTTTTTGTCTGATTTGAAATATGTCCTCATGGTTGGTTTTTCATTTCAATGTTCAATGGAACGCTAAACAAAGATTTAATGTTCATCAGCTGACATTGATATATATATATATATATTATAGTTGTAATATCGAATGTGTAAATTTGCCTATCAATCTGTCCAGGTATGTCTACAAATGCGTTAATAGTAGTAGTAGGATATGAATAAAACCTGGAGATTTATACACAGCAGACTGTCGATAATGTAGAACGTTTTGAAAGTTAAATCAGATAAATGAAGAAAAAAATTACTATACTGACTTTACTAATAATTTAATGTGTCTACTTGAGTCAACAGTATATACATGTATGCGCGCATGTTACTTTAAGTTTGCATGTTATGAAGAAAGTCAATTCTGCAAATACTTCACTATTATTATTTCATTTAATCAAGTACTTTATGTATTTTAAACAGTTCATACTATTTTGTTGTCAGAATAGATGATACTACTTAAATACGAGCCCGAATAGCTCAGTGGTAACGTCTCTAGGTGACGTGGATTTGAATCTAAGAAGGGACATGAGTCCCTTCAAGGTTGCAGATAAGTGCGTCAGTGGTACAGCGGTTAGCATACTTGCCGACAATGCACATATTCCGGGGTTCGATCACCGGCCGACGCACTCCTTTACCTCAATTATCCAGTAATAAGACTGGTAAAGAGAGAAGGTTGGACATGAGGGTAGCAACCCCATCCTGTCAAAATAAAACACTGTTACAGAAACTTCTAGCCTCCAGCTTGAAGTCCTATGTTCCACTGGGAACGTGAAGGAAATCAAAAGAAATCACTTAAATACATCCTTTTCTTTTCTCTTCCTTTGCGTTCCGATATGAACCAATCATTTCAAGTTTAAACTCTAAAGTTTTATTAAGTAGTGGTGGTTTATTTTGAGAGGTTAACTTACTAGCTTCACTCACTTACACTCAGCCTTGCCCCATCTCCATGCTTACTGCCGGTGAAAGCAAGGTTTAGGAATGCCTTGGTAGGGGACTGAACCTGGGTCACACCGGAGTCGTTGGCGAGGAGTATGAACCACCTTTTTAGGTTTGCATCAAACCTACTACTTAGCTTGGTTGTGAAATATCAATCAACTATTTTATCCTGCATATAAGGAACAGGTGGTATTTTGTAGTATTAAAAAGAATTGTAAATCAAATTTGTAATTAAATAGTTTCCATATAAAATAAAAATAGGCTAAATTCTGTCCATCATAATTATATCTCTTAATGCTCATGTATGACTATGTTTATTAAATTGGCATATTACTAATATTCTAGATATCTGATTTAAAATGTTCATTTATATAATTTAAACAATATTTTTTACTGTTAAAGTAATAAGATATTCAAAATTTTAACAAAAATAGGGATACATAAACGCATTTGTGATATAAAACAAGTAACAAATGTTAGTCAGACACGATTTGATGAATTCATTAGATTTCAGTAGAGCTCCTCAGCTGAATACTCTACATACAACGATGTGTATGTATATATGATAGAGAAGATTTGTAGCTCAGGTGGATGATTTTGATGTGGTTGTGTTCTCTGAACTGGAGAGTTAATTTTCGAAGCTTTCATCGCCCTACTAAGCGACATCTTCAGCGCATACTTCAATTTCAAGAAGTGAGCTTTCAGATTTCTCCATGAGTTTATTAATCATCTCTCCTAGTCGGTGAGCTTGGACGTGGTTGATTGTTTCTGTGTGTTTTCACACCTTCTAGTTACTTGTATTGGAACTCATTGTTTCTTTGACTTGAACTTTGACTCTTTGTGTGTGAGCTTTCTTTCTTATCGGTTGGTAAATTCCTTCGCTGCTCAGGAATTAGTTTGGAAACCACCTGCATCAAGCTGAAGTAACATCATTTGGATTTCCAAGACTAATTAATATCATGTCAGTTCTTTCGTATGGTTCAGAAACTTGTCATCTTCAGGAAGAGCATTTCCACTAGGCTACGACAGACTTTCACCAACAGCTGTCTTCACTTCGTACTGATGATCAGATGGTCAATTGGAAAAGCTAAGTAACCAGAAACTCCAGCAACAGTCAATCCAAATACCTATCGTCTAACAAATATGTGAAAGGGAATGTAGGTGATTTGGACATACACGATGAGTAGGAACAGACGCGTAGGACATGCAAGAGTGTAACGTGGGGAGATTGTATGAGAAGGAAGTGAAATCTTATCGGTATTCATGGAGCCAGCTAAAAGAGATTGAAGAAAACAGAATGACATGACAATGTGCTATTCAAGCTTTCTATTCCACATGGAACCTAAGAGAATAATAATAATGTATCTTATCAGAAAATAAATGTTTCCAATCTCCCTGATAATTTGAAAGCGAATTACTTATCGATTTATAACATTCTATGTATCCCAGGCATAGAGTTTGTAAAAATCCATATCTGACTCCAATTAACGGTCGACTGTTTCAGATGAACACTACTTAGTTTAATTCTGTGTAACTGTTACTTGATATGCCAGATTAATTGGCATCTTGGTATGTGTTATAACACATTCTCCATCCTTCTTAGTCAATGCAAACCACCTCAAAATAGTAAAGAAGCAAGAAGAGTTTAATTTGTAAGTGAATTAACAAGTTTTTAAGTAAAATATTTCTTGAGTTCACACAGGCATTCCACTGCTCTATTTATTACATTTTACGGTTTCTACAAATAACTGCTTTGAACAGAATGATTAAAATATTTCAAATAATAGATTTTTTTAATAATCTTACTAGTTGAGTATTGATTAAACAGACTGATTTGTTACTAGAAGAAGTTGAAACGAAAATCGAGATCTCCGCATATGTAAATTAGCTGTGAGTTACTAACCCTGGTGGGGCAGATCCACTAGTGGGTCTGAAAAATTCTGATACTGGTCTAACGCCTACCTCAACTTCAGCTTTTTTTCTCTGGGAATTGTCAGTCCAAACTTCCAAAGTATATTCAAACTGGAAGTATAAAAAAATGGAGAATAGGACTGAAATCATATCGAGACTCAGTAGACTTTCCCTCCTCCACTTCTGAATAACTTTTGTATATATTTTTTATTTATTGATCCCTTGGGTTCCTAGTGGAACATAGGGCTTCAGCTGCACGTCTCCACTTTCTTCTGTCTTTTTTCTGCTGTACTTTTCACCTCCATCCATGTCAGTCTATACTGTGTTTCTTCAACTCCTCTTCACACGATCTCCTCCATGTCACCCTTCCACTGACGTCCCATTCGACGCTTCCCATTCGGCCTGGTTCCACTCCAGAAATGGCCTGACGCGCGCGCGATGTCACCCAGCTACCTCCTCAGCCGCGAATGTCCAATCCATCTCCACTCTCTTCTGCATATTTGTTGGTTGGCGATTGGTTCTTGTTTTGTTTGTTCCCAGCCCTAGTTTCTTGTTGGTGATTCTTTCCGGCCCGGCCATCTGATATTCACTATAGAGCGAAGACAGTTGTTGATAAAGGTCTGCAACAGGCTGTTGGAAATATTCTTTGTGACCCGCCCGCCAAGTTTCTGATCCGTGTAGAAGAAATGACTGACTTGACGTTGTTTGTATTGAAAATCCGACCGAATTCAGTTGTTGATGGTGAGTGACGATGATATCCAGATTGGTTTCCGGCTGATGAATGTGTTTCCCGCCTTCCTGATTCTCGCTCGATTTGACATCCTCGTCCGTCCTGACTGCCTGTAGTTGAGACAATGCTCAATGCTAGATAAGTGAGTGAATGAAGTGACCTCTTTCAAATCCCTCCCGTTGATGGTGATTGGCTCTGGATGTTACTGCTGTTGTTGTTATTGTTGGTTGGTTATTTTCGTTACCTCCGTCTTGTCTATGTTCACCTGGAGTCCTGTCTTCTCCGGCTGCTTCTTCGACCAGTTTGTCGGTTTTCGCTTACTTTTAAGTCTTCGATTTTGTGTGATATCAAGCATAAATCATCCGCGAAATCCAACTGTTCTAAGAATTACTTATAAACGTTTGCACTGGCTACTTGAAGATTACGAAATTCCTCTCCATCTAAAAAATTTAATAATTTCTTGACGTTACATGGGTGAAATATGCACGAGTGTCACTTCCCTATTAAAAAGTGATTTGAGTGAAACATTACCTATTCTTTGTGTGTGTGTGTCGCGTATTATAATAAAAACCAAAGTGAATCGTATTCATAATTTTTGAATTATTTATTCCTTTCTAAACGTTTACCCTTTATAATTTCAGGTGCTGGTGTATGCGAGGCTATACTGGTGGTAACTCCAATGGAGACGATTAAAGTAAAATTTATCAATGATCAGACATCGAAAAATCCACACTATCGAGGGTTTTTCCATGGCTGTCGTTGTATCATTAAAGAACATGGTAAGAGGAAGCTTTCAGTTAACGTAAACATAAATTTCCTTGAAACTATAACTCATCTCTGCGTTGAAGTGTAACCGACAATAATCAATTTTTATGTGTTTAGCAGGAGTCAGTCAAACATAAACATCTCTCAAAGAATATTGTCTAATCTCTGGGTTAATCATCTAAACCATTGGTAAAGTGTTGAATATTAGATGATAATTCAACTTAAATTTTGCAATTAATATTGTTCTCTGAGCTGGTTGGTTTAGTTTCGTCGTCCCCCTGCTGGACTACATCTTCAGCGCAATATTTACCATAAAGTGAAATGATTTAAATTTCTACATGAGTGATAGAACTGCGTCTCCCGGTAACCATCGTTACATATGTATTGACCATTTTCTATTGACTTGGATTTTAAACTTTCTGGTCACCTGATTTACTTTTTATTAGTTGATACATTTCGTCTATATTAACGTGTTTGTTAATTGCATACTCGTTTGAGTATCAGGCTTCTAGGAGTTCCCTGGCATTGCCTTTCGGTGTTTCCTCTGTCTAAGATTTTGACATTATCCCAATCAAACTGATGTCCATAATTGTCCGTGTGCATTGATATGAAAGAATATATATCGTGTCTTTTCATGGCTGATTTGTGATCTTGGATTCTGATTCGAAGGGGACACCCACTTTGGCCGTTCATACACGGAGTTTATTTTGTAAATGGTATTAATTTTATTTCCTTTCTCTGTTTGGTCTTTCGGTTTGCACAATATCGAATCAAGCGATTAGACTGGCTTGTGTGCTATATCTATATCAAACGGTTTCAGTATTCCAGATGTTATTTCAGAGATATTTTTCATGTATAGTAGAATGAATTTTCTTGTGATCTTTGATGATGGTTCCTTGTTGGTGTTGTGATTTGATTTTAAACACTTTGATGGAATTTTGTGGATAACCATTCTTCTTGAAGACCGTTTGTAGGTGTTTTCCTTCCATTCTTTTCAACGCTGGATTGCTCACGGTGTATTTGAATTCTTTTAAACAATATCTGCACACAGTTTCTTTTGTGAGTGAGTGAGTAATTGGATTATTGTTAGTATAGTTGAGTATTTGATCTGTGTGAGTTGATTTTCTATATACTTGTGTTTCCTGTCTGTACTTGTGTAAATATTACTTAGGAAAAATTTAAATCATTTCATTATATATGTTCAAACCAAGTTCACTTTTAACGGTTTGAAAAAATTTGGGTATTGGGTATATGATATTCATTATAATAAAGGTTTTTGTATTTCCCAATGAATGAAAAACAAAAACCTTTATTAAATCATTTCACTTTATGCTAAATATTGCTCTGGAGATGTTGTCCAGCTCCGCAACTAAACCAACCAGTTCAGAGGACACTATTAACTGCAAATCATTCACCTGAGCTACAAATCTCTGTTATTTCAACTTAACTTTATTGGTAGAATGTTTTAATAGTGCTTGCTAATGGTAATTAGTCAACCTTATAGGTTTGGTTTTATTTCCTTCTAAGCGGGAATATTGAATGATAGTGGTTCACTAAAACGTCATGCCTTTGTTAACATTTGTATCACATAGATGTCTTTCGATGAAGTCTACAGCTTTCTCTGTCAGGACTTTTATTAGAAAAAAGGTGGTTTGCGAACTGTAGTACCTAACAGTTAGAAAACTGATAGTTGCCAACAGTAACAGCACATGATATGATCTTGTTTGAAAGGTAAGCTGAAAGCTAACGTTTATGCCTCAGAGCGTCCTTTTGTATTTACCTAACTGAAGTATTCCAGGTGTCACTCATTTAATTAACCTGTTAAGTTGTCTCTCTGTTGATAATATGCTCACTGTGAGTTGAATATTGAAATTGATTGGGATACACTAAAGTCTTGCTTATTTAAGGTGTATTACGTTGTACTACTAAGATGTAACCACTAAAAAAGAGAGAGAGATTGATTGATTTATGGATTTAAAGCACAGTTGTGGTGCAATATAGACATGAAAAGTTGCTCCGCACAAGTAATTAAACGACAATATGACGAACAACAGAACGCGAAAAGGCAGGTATAACTTTTAAGAACATTTAAAAGAGAGTTCCTTGCTTGAACATTAATGGCCATTCATTTCGATTTTAAGGCAACTTTTAGCGAATTCTCCAGCTTTTGATTAGTATTATTTCTCGTGGCGCAACCAGGAATTTGTGAGGCGCCAACACAGACCGCCTAGCGCAACTCTTCTTCATCCTCCTGTTTCACCTCTCCATTCTCTCTAACGAGTCTCAGAACTACCAAACAATAAACGGTACGCAGTTCACTGGAGTGACACTCGCAGCACCTGTTCAAGTTATGATAGCATCAGTTACTGAAAGATTAATTTCACTCTATCTCAACATAAGTTTTTTGGCTACAAAATCATTTAAACGTGACACTAATGAATTCAAGTATTTCTACAGATACGGTGAGTTCTCACATATCGTGATCCTGAAGTGCTCAAGTTTCGTAGGCCTGAAGAAAGACTGTAAACATCGAAGCAACGCAGAAGGGATATTTAACAACCAGACTAACGTAGGTAGTTGTATGCCCCCCCCTACTCTACTTAAAGTGGATTTGTGCAGAGCTTTCAGAATTTCGATGAACTCCTCAGATACACCTCTTCCTTACAGATATTTTCAAGGGACATCCCTGTCTATCGACTCAAAGTCAGTCCTCAAATCGGAAAACACTGGGCTTTTCTGTCCGTAGCACGTGTATCAGTTTTGTAACAAATAAAGTAGAATGCATACATGACCGATGTATCCACGGTCTGAAGAACACAATGTGTGTTTTTAGCGAATCAGTCTTTGACACTTCACAAAGCTTGTGTAGCACGATAGCAACCAGTGTTCTTGGTGCAACTGGTAACAAGCAGGCTAATACGCCGATTATCGCCACATGGATTTTAAAGTTAGTCACAATGATAGCCTCCTTCCATTCCACATCGATCGGACACTCAGTCTCCATGGGCTAGAGTTTCGTCATCACATATATAATAGGTGATTAAGGTAGTTGGTCTGTCTGATGGAACTTGAGTTTCTGGAGTTTTTTCTCGGACATTTGCATCGTTAAGATGTATTAATCTTACCCGACCATGGCGTATGGTGATTTACAACACTAAACACTGGCTGTGTAGAAGTACTCAGCTGCTCTTCAAAATACTCTGTTTTCAGGTTAGTAGTTGGCATACCATGTGCCTCACCGACCTTCACTCTGACATCATGTCTCTTACTCTTGGTGGTTTATGTTGCTTGGTGAGACTTCTGATCATCGACCATCGCTACTAGTACTACTATTACGATGGATACTATGACTTCTGCTATCACTTCCGGTGCTATCGTTACTCTTGTAAATATTGTTACCTGTGGAAGTTTGGCTTTGGTTTGCTGAATTCAAGGTGATGATTTCACATGCCTACGACAAACCGGATTGTGTATTGTCCCTCTCGATTTCGAAGGACATTTGCTGTTTTAGAGATAGCAAGATTATACTCAAAGCAATTTTCCCACATTAATCCTTACGCATGACCGTGAAGTAATTTGGAAACTACCGAATTCAAGAGCTGTACGACAACGCCACATGTCAAGTGATCCACAACGAAAAACTCACCAAGGTGTTTGGAGTAAATATAGGAGTCAGACAAGGGTGCTTATTATCACCAATGATATTCCTAATTGTGGTGGACCGGATTATGCGTTAGACAGTGAGAAACGAGAATACAGGGATATCCTGGACCGACGTGAAGAACCTAGAAGACCTGGATTTCGTCCATGGGTGATTTATGCTTGATATCACACAAAATCGAAGACTTAAAGTAAGCGAAAACCGACAAACTGGTCGAAGAAGCAGCCGGAGAAGACAGGACTCCAGGTGAACATAGACAAGACGGAGGTAACGAAAATAACCAACCAACAATAACAACAACAGCAGTAACATCCAGAGCCAATCACCATCAACGGGAGGGATTTGAAAGAGGTCACTTCATTCACTCACTTATCTAGCATTGAGCATTGTCTCAACTACAGGCAGTCAGGACGGACGAGGATGTCAAATCGAGCGAGAATCAGGAAGGCGGGAAACACATTCATCAGCCGGAAACCAATCTGGATATCATCGTCACTCACCATCAACAACTGAATTCGGTCGGATTTTCAATACAAACAACGTCAAGTCAGTCATTTCTTCTACACGGATCAGAAACTTGGCGGGCGGGTCACAAAGAATATTTCCAACAGCCTGTTGCAGACCTTTATCAACAACTGTCAACTATGGCTCTATAGTGAATATCAGATGGCCGGGCCGGAAAGAATCACCAACAAGAAACTATGGCTGGGAACAAACAAAACAAGAACCAATCGCCAACCAACAAATATGCAGAAGAAGGTGGAGATGGATTGGACACTCGTGGCTGAGGAGGTAGCTGGGTGACATCGCGCGCGCGTCAGGCCATTGCTCGAGTGGAACCCGACAGAATGGGAAGCGGCGAATGGGACGTCAGTGGAAGGGTGACATGGAGGAGATGGTGTGAAGAGGAGTTGAAACACAGTATAGACTAACATGGATGGAGGTGAAAAGTATAGCAGAAAAAAGACAGAAGCTAGTGGAGACGTGCAGCTGAAGCCCTATGTTCCACTAGGAACCCGAGGGAACAATAATATTAACATAAATATATCCTTACGCATACAGTCAGTTGCAAAAGTGCAGTTGCTTTGTTACCCAATAATTCATTCCTTATAATTATTCTCAACTAAGTGAATGAGTTTTGATTTTACGCCCTTCTCCTTACAAAATATAAGAATATTGTTTATTCAATTCGTTGTTTTTTGTCACAGATTATATGGAATATCGATTAATTTTGGCAAGGATCGGGAGAATATTAAAAAATGAATGGGTTGGGTTTTTCAAATTGGTATGCTAGTTGACTTTCACCAATAAACTTTTAGTTAAAATCACCTAATAATAAAAAAGACACACGGA